CCCCCCCCCCCCCCCCCCCCCCCCCCGCCCAAAAAGGGAAATTCGAGACGAGGCGAGCAAAGCGCGTGCGTGGCTGCATGCAACCACCACCAGCGGGGCCAAGCGGGGCGCCAAATTTGACCATCTGCGTTATTCCCCGCCTCTGCTGCTCCAGCTTGCCCTGCGCCAATCGCCGCATTTTTCACGCACCCTCATCCCACACCTCCCCCGCACACGACCCCCCGCCTCGACGCGGTCCAGGCACACACACAAATCGAACATTCTCCCTTCGAACCGCACACGCCCACCGTACAAAATCCAGCATGCACTCTAACAAACACCTTCATTTGCCGGCTGTGCTTGTCGTCGCTCGTTCGCTGCTCTTTACACTGGCGTCGGCGAGGCACGCATTTCGGCCAGCCACTTTTCCTTCTCCTGCGCCAGCTTGGCCGCCTGTTGAGCCAGGAACTTGTCGTGGCTGAAGTAGACGTTGGCCCAGAAGAGCGTCGACATGACGATGAACACGGCCGCGCTCGAGCCCCACTGGTACAGACCCTCGTCGCCGCGCACGCGCCCAAGCTCGTAGGCGTCGTAGCACGCCTGTTCCAGCGCGAGCGACATGACGTCCGTACTGAACTGCTCGCGCACGCGTCTCTTGGCTGCCTCCGCCACCTTGTCCCGCTGCTCGTCCGATAGACCAAGCAGTGCACCGATGGATACCGCCCAGATCGCCGCAGATGCATGGCGCAGCAACCCCGTACCTGTGTCGAGAGTCGGTTCGCCGTCGGGGGAGAGTGCGAGGTCCACGACGGTTTCCGTGGGTCCGCCCGTGTTGGTGGCGAGAACGGGGACACCGCACGCCATGGCTTCGAGCGGCACGATGCCGAAATGCTCGTCCGTGGGCGTGTAGAGCAGCATGCGCGTCGCGCCGTTCAGCAGCAGCGTGTGGATAAGCGCCATCGGCAGCGAAGGCAACACCACCACGCTCGCTCGAGCCAGCTCGTCGGCAGAGGGCGCCGTCGTGGGCGTCTCGAACGTCTGCCGATGGTAGCTCATCACTACACAGCTGAGACCCAGCTCGCCCGCCTGCGCAACGAGCTCCCTGAGCGTAGCCACATTGTCGCCCACGCGCCTGTCGTAGCCACCCACCAGCACGAGCCGCAGCGGCTTGTCGCCCGCCACCGCGGTGGCAGCACGCTC